AAAAAAAAAAAAAAACATTTAAAACCCCTCTAATTTTAATATATAAAAAAAGAACTCATGACCTTAGATTTAAAGGCTGTAACGAAAACAAAGAATAACAGCATTTTCTGTGCCTTTATATTAAAAGCTTTTCCCGTTTAAGCTGGCAGAGGAAAAACAAAGGACACATTTGTTTAATAGAATAATCCTTCGCGTGTTTAAGACGACTCCAAAGCTTTCAGATTTGAGCCTTAATGTTTCGACAAGCTGTTCAATCAGTTGTTGTTTTTTTGAGGACATTACAAATGGCAGGCTGTCTCTGAAATACGTTTTCTGGTTTTACCTGACCCACTTTTCCCATACTGTGTGTTCACACACGTGTGTGTGTTTGTCTGTCCCTCTTTGCTGAGAAAGTTGTAAATATAATCTTAGACACATGTTAGTCTGGCTGATTTTTTTTTCCAGACTCATGTCAGCTGTGATTAGCATATCTCCTGCCAAAATACAAGAAGTGCTCTCACACACATGTGCAGACCAGTGGGTAAACCTAACTCAGCTGCCATTTTGAATGATTCCTCAATGATTATTCGAGGGAGTGATTTATTTTGAACGCGTCCCGTACGCAAACCGAAACAGACAAAGATGAGAACTGTGACTGACAAGCTTCGAAGCCTAATTCTACCCTGAAACAATCTCCCGAAAAGCCCGTTCTCTGAAACGTATCATCACATGCTGGACATTTTAACACTCCCTGGCCTCCAATTTTTATGTCACCCCCGTCCGTATCTTAGAATGCGGCCATGTAAATGCAGCTGTGAACAGCATGCTCCGCACTCAGCTGTTTCATTCTCGTTCATTTCGTGCATGGGAATGGAGGTTTCTTTTTTCGCCGTGAAGCAGCGGGGAGATGGTGCAAAATGAATTTCTCGCCTTCCCTGGGGAGCAAATGGAATGGCGATTCAGAAACACACCCATTAGACAATAGAAGTCGGCCTCTTACTTTTGCTTGTCCCTCACTAGCTGAGGGACAAGCAAAAAAAAACAGAGAGAAAAAGAAATTGGGGGCAAACAAAAGAATGATTAAAAGTAGTTAAAGGAAAAAAAGACACAACAGGACAGCGACTGACCACATACTCTGCGACGGATGGAGAGAGGAAGACGGATGCGTAGAGGGATAGGACGAGAGAGGGAGAGAAGATGAGAATATATATGCGGTGGCCAGTGTTGTGAGACCAGGCAGGTTGCTGTCACTTTAAAAATGACTGTAATAAAAGTGACCGTCGGAAGATGGATTTGGTGATTTTGGCTTGCTAATCAGTCATCTGTGAAGAGGACTACAGCTCAGATTCACCGCCGCCTGACACCTCATGATTGATGCCTGTTCCCGATATATATATAAGAAAGGCCATTAACTGCCCTCCCATTAAACTGGATGAAATTACAAAAAAAAATCTGCTCTCCAACTCTGTTCTCTTGACCTATCTTTGATTTAACCACATATTATATTTTTGCATTTTCTGGATGTTTTTATTTATATTTTTTTTTTTCATTTTGAGATAGGCTGTTCTTGGGTATTACACTGGGGGAGATGCTAATCAGCTGGGCCTACTTGTGTTCTTGGTGCCCTGGACGTCTCAGTCAAATGGAAACGAGGCCTGAACACTTCAGTCAACACAAACTCCCATGTTGCCTTCTTCTCGTTAAATATGCAAACGAGGTAGTGGTGGCAAAAAGTGGGCGATGGCGAAAACAAGTTTTTGCCACATGACACGAGTCAGAAAAAAAATATAATAAAATAAAGGCCCTGCAGCTGAATCTAATATCTCCTCATCTCTTCTCTGCAAGACACAAACACACACAAACACATACACACACACACAAAGATTGCCTGCAATAATAATAACCCCACAGACGACAGCTTCGGCCCCCCCTCCTTCCAATTCCCCACCTTACCCCCCTCCCTCCTCCCATCACCACTACCATATACAATCAAACAAAGCCTCACTCTTACCTTGCGCATGACCAATCCTTCCATCTCTCCCACTTTTTTTCTCTCTCTCCCCCTCCTTCCTTCCTATCTATGCATGCTCTTCCCCTCTTTGGAAACCCAGCCACACCTAGCAGCAACACCTTGCTCTGTCCCGACTGTCCCACAGCCTACAGCGTGGCGCTCACACCCCCAATAAATGCAGCCCTGGTCTGCCGTTTTCCCATCTATCCCCTGTTTTTTTTTCCTCCCTCTGCCCCAGTCTCTTTCCCCTTCTCTCTCTCTCACTCTCCCCTTTCTCTCCTCTCCCCCTCGCTCCTGGCTGGTGCTGGTGAAATATCAGGGCAAACGGATTCCAGCTTTTTTTTCTTCCTCCGGCTCAGAGGGGTTGTTCTGTGCGATTTGGCCCTGGGGTGCATTTCAGCGCTTCTGATGTGAGAGACACAGAGAGGGAGAGAAGGTATTGGAGGGGAAGAAAAAGGAAGTGTGTGCGTGCGTGTGCATGTGAGATAGAAAGGATACACAGTTAGGGTTTATCCTTTCTTATTGAGGGGGCAGTCGACGGTTTTAAAATGACAAGCGTTTGACTGGCGTTGAACCAGCAACTCGAGGTGCGCCTGCTGTTTGTAGCTCGCAGAGGCCTTGAGGTGATCTCCATATGCATCAGCACAATCCACCTCCATGACAGGTGTGCGGCCATCTTGGAATCTCTCTGAGCCAGTGAGTGAGACACCGGCTCACCGGGGTACAAATAGAAAAGAAGAAGAACCCGTTCCCCAGCAAGGTTATAGTTTTACATCAATTGTTTTAGTTTAATATGATTTGTTTCCTTATTTTTCTTTATCTGCTCATTATAATGTTGAGATTTCTTTTTTTAATTGCATTTGTTTATTCATTGAACCTTTGCAAAACACCTGATATTTATGAAAGACCGAAACTTAGGAGCTGTTTAAAACGTTTTGGTCAGAACTGGCTGAACACAAACAGAACATTTTCAAAGTCTTGTACTGATTAGTCATCGTTGTTCTCTTTGATTAAAATCTGACAGTTTGATCTTTTTTAGGCCTGAAATCAAATCAAAAATATAATTAATTTATTCACTGTAGGGAACTCTGCGGTAAAAAATAAATAAAATAGGAAATTCCACAAAAGAACGTGTTTTGTCTTCATCCGACATCATAAACAGTTGACACAGCATTGTGTGTGTGTGTGTGTGTGTGTGTGTGTGTGTGTGTGTGTGTGTGTGTTTCATAATCTCACATCACTGTATAGGGCGTCCTAAAAGGATTTGTCATTCTCAGCTCAGCCAGTCTGATTGTGAATTAAATGTATTTTTAGGCACCTTTTTTCCATCCCTTTGTGAACCCAGCTACAATTGAGGTCAGAACACACACACACACACACACGTGCACACACATAAACACACGCACACACACACCATTCTCTGAGAGAAAGACACATAGCTTTCAGAACAAATCACTGTTGAACTACCCTGTGCAGAACGGTTTTGACATTTTGTTTGGGAGAAGTAGCATTTAATTGAAGGGAGGAGCAATACGGATGGCAGTTATGCAACCAAAGGAAAATGTCTGCGTTTCAACCCAAATTGAAAACATAACAGAGTTTGTGTTTGTGTGTCTGTGTGTGCTGAACATTTGCATGCACCGTTTTGATGTTATCCAGTTTGCCTTCATGTTTTGTTTTGTTTTTTTTTTCTTTCTCAGATACATTCAGAGGTTTAATCCATAAAAACACAGTGCTATAATTTAGATTAATGAATTCATAAATATGTATTTGCAAAACAAAAACTGTGCAAATGTGTTGACATGCAGAGTTTTTACATATTCACCTTTTTTAATTTTAATTAGATGGAAGTGTTAATTGATGTATGTAAAAATACAAGCTAATTTAAATATTAAATTTAAAGCTAAATTTTCTATTTTCATATAATTATGCAGCTGTACTCTTCTAATACAATTTTGCATCCATTTACTGTGAAATGATTATTAAAGCTGCCTTTTTTTTCAGCAAAATGAGTTGCAGTTTGCTCATCTCAGTTATTTTATTTTATTATTTTTTTGGCCACCTAACACAGTAAGGCCAGAGGTCAGAGTCACCCAGACAACAGGAGAGCTTGGAGAATAGTCATTTGCTCACTGGCACTTAGGTATGGAAGGTGTTTGCAGTGAAGGCTGGGACTCGGGTCATCCGGTTTAATGATGGTCACTTGGAGTGGAGATTGAAGAGCCCTCATAATGCAGTCAGAGATTTTTTAAGGATCACTGCACACCTCATAAAACGGCCTTTTCTCCTTTTCTCTCTTTTATTTATTTATTTATTTATTTATTTATTTATTTATTTATTTATTTATTTATTGTTTTTGCGTGTTCCTTCAAGCGTTACCCACGTGTTTTGGGTCGCATCTTCTAATCCGCGCGCATTTACGCATTGGTCAGTGCGCCTCGGCTGATTTGGTTCCTTTGCTGGGTGATGAAGTCCAGGCAGGACACTGACTTCACAAGCTCATGTCTGACAACGGTGTTGGGCGGGAAATATTAGCTCCCTGCAGCAAAAAAATAAATAAAATAAATAAAAAATCGACGAAGCAAATCAAGTCTGTGTTTTTAACATCATTTTATTTAACTGATCGTTTAATTACCACGTGTTGTTTGCAGCCACTTATTTTACATCATACATGTGGATCTAATTTTAAAAAAATTGTTTTATATTTGAAATGTCTTTAAATGTGACTGAGTGGGAAAGGCATTACAATTAATTTATTTAACTTAGAAAAAGTCGCCATTTTTGAAAGTAATGTGAATATTCTCCTGTTTTAAGTGCATTCAGATTCAGCACGAATCGCTTTTGGCATTTGTTTTATTTTATTTTATATTATTTTATTTTATTTTATTTTATTTTTACCTCAAGTGTCTAGATGTCAATCTGTTGCCATGGATCTGACTTCATGGTGCCGACCTGCTTATTGGCCGTGTAGAGATGGCCGACGAGGAAAGGGGAGAGGAAAGGAGGGGTGGGGGGGCATGGATGGGCGGATGATGGGCTGGGAAGGTGGAGGGGTGACGGTCCCCAGGAGGGGCTGAGCGGGAGACTCCTGGGGGTCTGAAAGGACCTCTCGGACCACTAAATTGACACGTTCAAGCTGCTGAGTTGACATGAAGAAAGCACTTTAATAAACCATGTGGAGCCATGAGTCTGACTTTATCACAGGCCATCAACTGTCAGGCCTATTATTATTA